ACTGAGAAATCGCAGTAACTGCTATTAGCAGCAACTATGGTAAAGCACCATCAGAAAACTTGAGGTTGCAGAAAAACTTGTGCTAGTACCACCTCTCTTCTCTGATGATGTCACTACGGCAGTACTAGTCAGGCAAGCAAATAACTGGGAGCAATCGAAATGTGATCAGCAAGTATGCTAGCTACTGAACCTTTTGCACTCAGGATGAAGCTGCTGATAAAGAGAGAAGATAATGCCAACCGAAAACTGAAAAATGACAGTAAAGCTAGTAAATGGGCTGCTAGATAGAACTAACAAGTAAGTTTGCAGACTTCAGACAGCCCACACTGTTGCTCTGACTACTAAGTAACAGTCACATGCAGTTTGGACAAAACACAAGTGACATAATTTTAATGGCAGATATTCTATACTTTACTGGGATGGGGTACCATTTATAGTCACTAACTATATTCTTGAGCTACAGTTTAAAAAGAAACACACAACAAGGGTATTGGAAGCAAGATGCAATACAAAGCCTGAAGTATCAGTACTCCATCTTAAAACCAAAAATATCACATTAATGCTAGCTAGACAATGAATCAGAATTGCTACTTGCTAGAGCATCATATCTGCTCATGGTAGAAAATATCACATTTTTGCAGCAACTTGTCGACAGCATTTGACACACCCTACACAGAGGCCATATGACAAAATCCAATCGCTTGAGGTGCCACTCGATCGGCTAGCAACGCCGAGTACCATGATCACGAATTTCTTTATCTATCTACTCTGGTTGATCAAAATTTTGTCAACTTTCAGATGCAAAACTTCAATAGAATTCAATTTGCAAGAACGGACAGCAGGGGAGGGATGGAATTGGAGATGAACGGACAGACCTATGCACGCACCAAGCCACCAGAGCGGCGCCGCCGTCAAACTCGCCTCTGCCGCTGCCTTCGTCACTTCCTCCTTCACGCAAGGCTGCAATCCCATGGCACCCGACACCCGTGGAGCCGGATCTCTGCGGAGACTCCGTGATGTTGGGCCGCCGCCGCCGCCGCCGCCGCACTGCCCTCGCCCTACCTGGAGGATGGCGGTGGGTGGACGGTGTCTGTAGGATGGCGGCGGACGGCGGCGGGCGGATGCGGCGACGGGCGGACGGCGGCGCGCGGTTGGGGCGACTGGTGAACGGCGGCGGACGGCGGCTTGGCCGGCGACTTGAGGGTGCGGTAGTCCAGCATCACGGTTCACCCGTTGCCATCGTCAGCGCGCCGCACGGTGGCTTCGCGGTAGAAGCGCTTCCCGACCACCGACCCCGTCATGAACGACGTCGGCATCGCCATCGACGTCTCGTCCCTCGTCGTCATGGCCGCGGCCGCCGCCGGTTTCTTCACGTAGATCGCGTCGCCGGATCCACCTCCCCCTCCTCGCGCGCAGCTCGACGGCCTGGATGTCCTCGCGCGAGGTCGGGAGCGCCAGCGGGAGGTAGGCGGCGGCGGAGGAGGATGCAGTGGCCTGGATGAACCCTAGAAATAAAATGCCAATCTAACTATGTTACTTCAATTATTCATCCCAACTATACTACTCAGAAAATATTTATCTAACTATAGTACTTGATTGAATCATACACACTAACTATACTACTGAAAACATTTTTTTGCAATTATACATTTACCCTTCATTAAAAAAAACTACAAAAAAGAAATTACCACTCCTCTATTTGGAGTCATAATCCCCTTAATTTCGGAGGCGATGGGAGACGACGTGACACATATGGGCCCACCGACTATAGACACACCTATCGCCTCCCATCGTCTCTCATCGCTTTCTCATGTTCTAGGTCCACCGACCATAGACACACCTATCGCCTCTCATCGCATCTCCAACCATCGTAAAAAAATCTCGCAATTATGAGCAATTTGGTTCAGCACGGTTGTATCTATTTCCATGTACATGAATGCTAAATTGCAAAGAGAAACGAAGCAGCAAGGTCGGCAAGCTGTAGACGCAACCAAACGATGATGCTAGCTGGGCAAAAGAACCAAACATGCTGTAGTGGCAAGGTCGACCTTGCTGAAACTGGCAAGTTTGCTCAGCTGAGCTATATCTCGTGCTGTAGTGCTGACTATGGCCTATGGAGATTGGAGAGGAAGGGAGGGAGGGGAGGGGGGTTGATAAAGCCATTGCATTGCTGCGGCATGAGTGGGCAGTAAGGCTTGCCTTCCATTCACGGGTACCAGTAGCAAGCTGTGGGCCACTGATGAAGCCATGAATATGAAGGGCCTGTTGCTTGAAATTCAAACGGGCCGGCCGGGGCAGGGCAGGGATGACGACTCTGTGCTGAATGAAAAAACATTCCATACCATTACCACGTCGACTTGAAATTCATAGCCGGCCTAGGGGGGCTAGGGGCTACTGGGGGCAGTGCCATATCGCTGAGCTGGTTTGCGCTCCTAATAGATAGTTTGCTAACATTTATGACACCAAATAGATATACTATGAAAATACGTTGCATGACGAATATAATGATACTTGTTTGGTAACATAAACATTAGTATTCTAGTATATAAATTTGGTCAAACTTTAAATGATTTGACTTAGAACAAAACTAAAACATCAAGTTTTTTGAAAGAGAGAAGTATTTATTTGGAAAGAAAACTGTAACTTATGGTAGTTACTACTTACCACCAAGGTATAGATCTGATGCTCAGCCCCATATATTGTCGGTAACAAGCACCAACTGTTGGTGCGTTAGGCAGATGTCACCAAGTTCAACGGCAGCAATCAACAACATCGTTGGCGCTAACTTGCCATGCCTAACTTTGCAGCCATAGAAAGTGTGGTGAGCAAAAATGAAGCTACACATATTTGTGGCAAGTTTAGCAAAAAAAGAAATGAGTCTATGAAGTGTGGGACAGGATGCTAAGAAAGTGTGGTGTGCCATAGTTACAGTAGTGAACCAAACACACGCCTCAGAAATTGTGGCACGCCTGACTTGCGGCATGGCAAGTTGTGATCATGAACCAAAGAGGCCTAGCTTTGCTCCTTGACAACCTTTTTTTGAGCCTAGACTTCAACACTGACAAACTCAGCTACCTCGCTATTGTCATATCAGATTTTGACCATTAGACTGGTGAAAGGACCCATGAGCACCTGTCTAATTCAAACTTAAAATCAAGGGCTCAAATTAACTACCACTAGAAAAATCATAAACTGCTCTATAGTATGATTTGCACTTAAGGTTTTTCTAGTGTGTTTTAAATTATTCTCAAGCCAAAATATTTTAGCAACCATCCTATCCTATCAACTAGCCCATAGCTAATCTAGGAAAGGAAACGTCACTCAAACAAAGTACAAGCAGAAGCCATAAACATACATGCTAAGTAAAGAGTTGAGGAAAGAGTGTGCTAAACAAAGTACAAGCAGAAGCCATAAACATACATAAGTAAAGGTCACACAAACAAAGTACAAGCAGAAAGCCATTGTCACAACCAATGAGCCGATTGTAATTGAGGAACCAACTCCTGCAGAGGTGGTAAAGCAAAATCCCCATGGGTGCTGCTACTAATGATCGAGAAGCTGAAAGTAGCAAGAGGGACTCTAAGTATTGCCAACTCAAGTGGTGCCCGCTGGGTTTCTCAAGGACTAAGAGGCGGAAGTTGCAACGTGCCTAGCATCACAAGCAAAAGAAAGAGAACTTGGAGAAGATGAGGGAGGAAATTTTCAATTCCACACATCTATTTTTCCCTCCACCAGCAAAAAGGGCATCACAAGACGTCGCGGAGGCTGCTGATACTGGGCAAACCGGCCAGGCTGGTTCTGAAACCGGTCAGGCCGGTTCTGCTTGACGCCCGACTATCCAGGCCGGTTTTGCTGCCTGTGCACCTCCCCAAATCGGCTAGGCCTGTTTGGAACCGGCTTGGCCGGTTCTTCTGTCCTCTGCAGCGATCGATGTGTCTTCCGGCGATTCGGTCTCCATTGTTGCTCCTGTTGTTGCTGAAGATTCTGAGGAACTCTAGGACGGTCCAGATGAGGAGATGGTTGATTATGAGCCATCCACAAAGTGATTGGATGTCAATGTTGTTTATTTGTCATCCGATGGTGATTTTATTGGAGATGCAAGGACGATGGCCCAATTTAATTTTTCAACTCAGAGTGCCACCTTTTGAGAAACAAAGACTTCATGAATCATTTCAAGCCGCTGCAAGTGAAGGGCCATATCAATGGCACACCGATAACATGTTGGTGGATAGCGGAGCAATTGTGAATTTAATGATATATTCGTTTTATAAGAAGCTTGGTGTCACGGATGAGGAGTTGGTCAAGACCAACATGACGATCAGCGGTGTTGGTGGTGGTGAGCAATTCCAGCAAAGAGTGTTGCATCGATGGAACTTACTATTAATTAGGAGCAAGACCTTGGCTACCGCTTTCTTTGTTGCGGAGGTGCAAGGAAGCTACAACTTGATTCTTGGGCGCAATTGGATCAATGCCAATCAATGTGTTCCTTCTAGCTTGCACCAGCTCCTGGATGATGAGATAGAGGTTGTCCACGTAGACTCATCGGCCCAAGTTGCTACGGCCGATGAGTTTGTGGCATGGATTTCATATATATCTTCTGGTAACTGGAAATAGCAGCTAAATATAATATAGACAAACTTGTTCACAGCAGACGATGTTTATATACCCAAGAATCATAGCAATTACTAGAGTTGTTTTTGAGTCTTGATTCTCTTCCCTATCTCTGTTAAACTGTTTTACCTCAATTTTGGAGCTATCAGCAAACACGTTTTCTGCAGATTTAGCTCCACTCCTGAAATTTTTTTATATAATGAAAAAGCTCCACTCCAGAATTTACATCTTTAATTTCTATTGTAAGCGTCCAGCATCCATATATGGAGATTTATGCAATTCGTCACTTGATTTAACAGCTCAATAACATGATGAATACAATATCCTGATGCATCTTTGACTAATTCTTTGAATTCTTGACACTTAACCATACAATTGAAGGATTGATCTCATCGTGGCACAGGACCTATTTGAGTTTCTGATATATTGCCGACCTGTTCCAACTCAAGCATAGTTTCCTGTCTTGCTTCACTTGCTTGTGCATCACTCTGCAAGTCAACACTAGTTGCACTGAGATTGACTGTGCTGCTCGGCACTGAGCTGTAATATCCCATTGCATGCAGGGCATCCAGCTCTAAGGTCTCCTTGAGCTCCATCACAACATGAGTCATTGTTGGTCGTTCCCGCGATGGCTGCTCTTTGCACTGCAGAGCCAATTCTGCAACTTTCCAGACAGAGTTGACATCATACTCTCCTTCCATCCTCGGGTCAACAATGCTCTCGATATTACCCATCGAGAGCTTCTGACGCACCCAAAGTGCAATGTGGATGCTATCGGTGCTAGTGATGGTGACTGCTGGTGGCTGGCCTGTGATGAGCTCAAGTAGCACAACTCCAAAACTGTACACATCACTCTTCTCACTGAGCCTGGATGTGTTATAGTATTCAGGGTCCAGATAGCCTAGGGTACCTGCTGGTTGGGTTGTGATGTGGGTATCGAAATCATTGGCAAACACCTTCGTGAGCCCGAAGTCTGATATCTTGGCCTCTAGATCAGCAGACAGCAGAATATTTGTCGTCTTCACATCCCTATGGATCAGTGGTGGTTGGCATGCCTTATGTAGATACTCCAATCCTGCATTAGCCGGTAATTAGGTTGCAATTGGTTAAGCATTTGGTGAATTTGAAGAAGCTAGTTTAATTTGTTACTGAAGCATCCCAGATTTAATTGGGATAATTAACTGGATAGTACATGAATTTAAGTTCAATCTACCATGATACAGGATGTATCTCTTATTACTAATTTCCTATGTTAATATTTCAGGTGTGTACAGGCATACAAACCATGGGCAGAGTCTAGAGCAATCTTCAGACGTTGATGCCAAGTGAGGGGTGTAATAGCAGACACCTGGCCTGCGATGTATGATCATAACAAATTGGTTATAGAAAGGTTTGTACAAAATCATGATAATAATAGCATGTGGTTCATTGGTGAAATTGGACAGTAGTGTAAGTTACTCAATTCTTATTCCCATGACGAACTCATAATGTGCCTTTGCAGAAGAACTAGAGCCCCTAATTACACCATGATGGTAACAGTAGATAAGTAATATTGTCTCATTGAAATTGAGTGTGTTTGAAACCATAACCAACAAAATATTTTTTTGACCGAATCAGCAGGGGAAACCCCTACCTATTTCCTTTTCAATTAAATGAAAGAATGTTTATGTACAAAGTAACCAACAAAATATCCCCATAAGTTTTTTGGCATATGTTGGAAGTGTGTTTGACAAAGCTATCTGAGACTCATGAGTTCAAGAGGTGCTACCATACCTCTTAGACGGTTCTCTAGGTTTCCACCTTGCATATATTCATAGACAAGGGCTAGATGTTTCTTGTCTTTGCAATACCCAATCAAGGAAACAAGGTTTCTGTGATGAACTCTAGTCAAGTGTTGAGCCTGAAACACGTAATAAGGTCATTTATTTCAGTTTTCAAGTGCACGCAGAAGGTAAATTCAACTGAATGTCTTACCTCAGCTGAAAATGCTTTATCTCCTTGAGATGTTTTTTAACACATCTTGATAGCAACCGGACTTCCATTCTCCAAATACCCTAGGAATACAGCACCAAATCCTCCTCGCCCTATTTCTTCTTTGAAGTTAGCTGTCATGCGCTTTAACTCTTTGTAAGTGAACTGTCTGTTTCCAAACGCAGTCGACCTTTCTTGAGGGCTAGGAAGCCTTGAGTTGTTTGCTGTCCATGTAACTAGTGCCAAACCACATCTTATATGAATAACCTTCAGTGAATACAGATTTTGTGGTTTTGTGTACGGAATGTTACCTTGTTTATGTTTCAGTCTATGAAGGATTAGTGCTGCCACAAATAGTAGTGTCGCTACTGCTATTGGGACAACTATTGCGATGGCAAGTATTCTCTTGCCATTCTTGTTCTCCGGTTCACAGGTAGAAGCACCATTATCACATATATTTGCATTGTTACCAATCCTAGCATCGGCGTAACACTTTGAATTGGTTAATTAAATGGAAAGAAAGTAGTGACTGTGCTTATTCGATTCAAGTAGCAGTAGTTGTTTCTTTAACAATTTCTTGTCCATGGAACATCCAGGAGGAACTGCATAATGAATCTTTTACCTGCGTGCCATTATAAAAGATGGTCCCAACCTACAGGCCACTAAAAAGTTCGAACACACCCAGATGTCCTTGGCCAAACTTTTTTTACCCTCCACGTCATTCCGTCCACCCTCCGCCTGATTTTTGCCGTTTACCAACTCTGACACGTGGACCCGCCCAGTGAAAACCCCCTCTCTCCCAATCCCTCTCCACGTCGCGCTCCTGTCCCTTCGGCGCTCCTGTTGGAGCAGCCCGTTCTCGTCACCGTGGACGCCGTGCGTGCGTCCTCGCCGCCGTGGGCGTAGTCTCCTCGCTCACGGCTGCAGCCGCGGCTTGCTCGGTGTGGGCACAGTCTCCTCGCTCGCGGCACTGCGGACTCCGCAGCGGCCTCCTCCTCCACCCTGCCGGCGACCTGCTCCCACTCATTCGCGTCGCTCACGCCCACATCCCACCTCCGGTCGTCGTCATGGTCCTCCCGCTGCAGGCAATCCCAGCAGAGCGGCAGACCGAGCTCCCCGTCCTCGTCGGGTGGCGCCCACTCGTCGTTGTCCTCATGGGGCGGGGCGCTCGCAGTGGCGCCCCGCTGCCGGCGTCAGGGACTGCGCGCACGGCCGCGGGGTGGGGCGGGGTGCTCGCGGCGGCGCCCGCACTACCGGCGAGAAGATGACCAAGAGAGGGAAGGAAAATTCCGGACACGCCCGTTCTCGGCTTTGCGGCCATGGCGGACAGCGGCAACGGGATCAGCCAATACGGCCCCTACCCTTGATCGTTCTCGACGGGATTGCTTCCAGGAGCTAGCTCTCGACCATAATCACTCGTTGCTATAAGGAATGGAAACGAGAAGGCTCGCTCGTGGTGAATTTTTGAAAGATGCAGAGGGTGGCCATGGCAAACGCGTTCAGGCTTTTATAGCCGGGCATCGCGAGGCAGGGCAGACACATGCTCGACTGGTGCTTGCGGTGGCTCCAGAGCACGGCGGGGCATCCACTTGCGCAGGTGGCGAGCGCCACGCGTGCCGCGCAGGGCCGGGGGAGCTCGTCGCCGCCATGGATAAGGCCCAGGCTGCGGACGATGCCCAGGCCCAAACGACTGCGTCGTCTACGGCCGCGGTGTACGCTAAGGAATGGCAACCTCGCCGCGACTAGCTCGCCCACCTTCCAGAACAGCGCTCAAGGGCCTCGTCAAGCTGTAGGAGCGGTCGCGCGACGGCAGCAGCTTCGCCGCCGTACGCTGGGACGGAGCTCGCTCACGGCGGCCGGGGCGAGCTCGCCCGCACACCGGTAGAGATGGCCGGGGCACCGGTCGCATTGGCCGGGGATGCCCCCAGCGCTGCATTGGGCTCTCGGCCGTCGATTCGGCCGGGGCGGCGCTCAGCTACAGGGAAAAGAAGAGAAAGAGGAAGGTTTGGGTGGCTGACAAACAGGCCCCACTGTAGGGCAAAATGGTCATTTCATTTCTCTGTTTGACACCGTTAGAGGCAAAAGTGGAAGGAATGGGACGGAGGGTAAAAGAAGTTCAGCCAGTGGCACCTGGATGCACTTGAACTTTGTAGTGGCTTCTAGGTCAGGACTATCTTTTATAATGGCACATAGGTAAAAGACTCAAAACAAAACCTCTTTGGATTAAATGAACTCTGGAAGTCGCTACGTGATGCAAACCTTAAGACAAGAGATCCATTTTGATGTTTTTGTAGTAGAACAGCTGGAACCGGTCCACTGAGTTTGTTGCTTGACAAATCACTGCAGAAACCCAGCTTGATATGTTGACTGAATTTGGATAAAGTGGTTTTCTGTTCAGGTATATAGAATACTTACAGGAATGTGAGCGATGGCATTTGCACTAGAAAATCAGGTACTGGACCAGATAAACTGTTATTGGACAGGTCCCTGCAATTATAATTCTTGTGAAAAGTACTGAGATGGACATTAGAGCACACAAGTAAAACTTGAACATTATGCTAATTCGAATTTTTGTAACCTTGATCAACTAATAACAAAATTATTTTATTCATGTTGCACCAAGCCACGAATCACTACATTTTGTTTAATCATGTTGCCTTACAGCCATTGGAGGGATTTCAGATTTCCGAATGAAGCATCGATTCCACCACTCAACCCACTAGATGACAAGCGCCTGCAGCAAGTCAAATAATTAATCGAATGTCAGGGAATGAAAACAATATTAAATTATTCATTCTCTTCAGTTATGTAGCATCCATGTAATAAGTCTATAATCATCCTATACTTTATGGTAGAATGCCTTTTGTTTTTTTAAAGACATGGTAATGTCTTTAGGGGTCAGACTTACAGAGCTGTGATCCATGCAGGGCCAGATGAAAAATTACTGCAGTTCAGTCCGTCCCAAGCAAATGCTTTAGGTGCACAAGGGTCACCCATCCAATTTTTCTTCAATGCATATTTCGTGCGAATTGCCATCATGGCCTTGGCTGTTCATATGGAAAAAAGATGGTAATTCTGAAGTCATGCTTTGTGACATCCAGGTTGACTGAAATCATTTTGGGCAAATTTAAAGTGTCAAAACTGATACCATCTGCACCATTCGTTGCGAGCTCAGTCATTGGCAGGACTGAATATATCTCGAATGCATTCAGGATTGGTGGAAGAGTCGCATCTGGTGTGGCAACCAGCGACACAGTGTGTTGCCTTGACCCCAGCACCATCCTCTTCACAAGCTCGGAAGAAAGGTACTTCGGGCTGTAGCGCTGGCTACCGTTCCATGTAGAGTTGTCGACAAGGATATCAAACCGCCTCACTGCATTGCTTGGCAACCTCTGCACCTCTTCGAAGTACAGCAACAGGAGGTATGATGTGTTGTCATTGTTTATGGAGGAATCCGAGCTCCATGCGAAGTCGATCTGGGTTCCATTCACTGGAGTGGCGGCACTCCACAGTATCATGGGTAACGTATGGAAGCTGCTGATGTTGGAGACGTCGACGGGTCTTGTAATGTTGGTCCATGCATCAATGGCGCCATAGGCCTGCCAGAGCCGGTCGTACGGATCAAATGGGTACCTGTTGTGTGCAGAAGACCATAATGAAAAGAATTGACGGAAGGGTGCTGGAATTTAGGGAGTGTTTAGCTCCCACCTAAAATTTTTCCATACCATCACATCGAATGTTTGGACACATGTATGGAGTACTAATTGTAGACGAAAAAAAAGTAATTGCACAGTTAAGTTGGAAGCCACGAGACGAATCTTTTAAACCTAATTATCCCATAATCAACCGTAAGTGCTACAGTAACACATATGTGCTAATGACGGCTTACTTAGGTTTAATAAATTCGTCTCGCGGTTTTCAGACGAGTTATGTAATTAATTTTTTTATTAGTATCTGAAAACCCGTTCCGACATCCCATAAAATATCTGATATGATATAAAAAACTTTTCACCCACCAACTAAACACCCCATGCAGATATGAACACCACGACGGAAAGTACTAGGGCAGTAGGCCGTAGCAACTGTGGAACACTGGAGATCTGAATGCTTGTTTGACCTTGGAAGAGGAATGGTTTCAGTCAGAGCCATAGCGCTTTTAGAAGATTTGGTGAGTTTTCTTTTTCAGAAAGTTTTGGTGACTCGGATTTAAGAATCAGAATCAAACCATAACTTCGGCCCCCCTTTTGGAAAGTACTAAAAACGGAAGAATGCTCAAGAAGTCCAATCGAAATGAATGGACACTGGAAAGGCATCCTAACAGCCGGCTTGGAGGAAGTTGACTTAAAGAACAGAAAAAGTTTCTTATCTCACACACTACTTAGGCCGCTCCAACAATTGACTTTTGACCTAGCTCTAAATATTTCTTTCATATTTTAATACAAGAAAGAGAAAATCTAGCTAAGCTGTTATACACATTCCAAGATCATGTGAGAAAGTTACGTGAACGTAAAGTCATTGCTAAAAGTTGACATTATTGAAGATGTTGGCTTAGAGCTACTAACTAGCTCTTACGGTTGCGGGTGTCCTTATAGGGCAAATGTGATACTAGTCTAAGGTCATCCTGATTTTTTTTAAACAAAGCTGATCCTGAAATTTCTTCGGAGTTGTTGGAAGCAACGTTTCTCCTTTTCACTCATGTCTGTCTCTGCCTAACCCATATAGAGTACCATTTAAATCTTACGTGTTCTTTTTTTTTAAGAATAAACCCTACCTCTACGAGCATCTCCGAAGGACTGAGCCGACAGATCTTGAGATTCACGAAGTCATACTATCGAGAGAGAGGTCGCCTACCACTAAAAGCATATAAACCCTACCTCTATGAGCACCTTATATAAATCCTACCTCTATAAGCACCTCCGAAGGACTGTGCCGACAGATCTTAAGATTCACGACGAAGTCATACTAACGAGAGAGAGGCCGCCTACCACTAAAAGCGTAGTGTCGTTAAATCCTTAAATAAATCTAGAAAAATACGAGCACACGTACCAAGTCGAGGACTTGAATCCAGGTAGGCAGGTTCCACCACAAAGAACCCAACCAACTGATCTATGATCAGTTCGCAAATCTGACGTGTTCTTTTAATATCAGAATGAAACTTTTGATTATTGTGTGCTTTCATGTATAGCCTTGCTCTTTTCCTATTCATATGTTTCCTATTTCTCGTGATCCACACGTTATCGCGCTCATGCACGTATTTTATTTTAAAAAAGAGAAGCCTTATTTTTGTCAATAGCCATCTATGAATCAATTTCCATTTTGCAGAGCCCCTTCACGTACTTAATTTGTGTGCATAAATTTCCTTATGTTTTAAGTCAAAGACGTGATATGATCCACAGAATATCTTTGTAATGGGAGGAATTGTGTGATACATTTTCCCTATATTATGTTATCTCCATCCGAAAAAGTGTCATTCTAGGTTTGGACCAAGTGTAACATTCTTAAGGTTAACTAGGTTTGTAGAATCAACATGTTTATCTTTAAATAGGTTTATTATGAAAATATATTTTATGATAAGTCTAATGATACTTATCATGTACCATAAATATTGTGGGTTTTTTTTGTCTAGTTAAACTTAGTGTTATGTGCCCAATATGGACCCCAGATGGCGGGCATAGCGGGCCAAGCGACGCGCAGCGCAGAGCGATGGCCGGCCTGTGATGTCTCCTGCGCTCGGGCAGGGGAGGGCATGGTGTGGCCGGGAGGGGGCACGCGCCCAGGGGCGTCCGCCGCTCAAGAGAAATCCCACCGTCCGGAATGAATCTATATCTATATCTATATCTATACCTAATACTAAAGAGACAAAATTTCTACCATTAAAATAAAATTTTCGTCCAACCTCTACTGATTCACTTCGGACCCGCCTTTTCCGATGTTACCAATTTTTGTTCCGATCAGTTCTTTCTTTCCGATTTGAGTTTTTGTCTTTTTCTACGTTTCCGATTTGGTTTCCATGTTTTGGAATTTATTTGTTGGAGATTTGCTTATAGTAGAAAAATATTAAGATTTTGTTAGAAGAATAAATAATTACTTATAACCATTCGGGATTATAGGTTGTTTAAGGGTCAAGTCCCATAGGGACTATAAATATAAGGACGTTGTAACCATTCGAGACAAGCCAGAGAAATAATCTATTCCCCTACCCCTCTCTCTATATTGCCACCACCCCTCCCTCTCTCCCTCACACGCGCGCCGCCTGCCCTACTCCTCGTCACCGCCGCTGCCGCCACCTCTGACCCACGCCACCACCGACCTAGGCCTCCTAACTCGCCCTACTGATGGATTGGCCTGGAATGGGTTAAACAATTTGGGCTGTACGTGAATTGACTCTGGGCCAGGGACAACGGGTTTCACGTGCGTCGTGGGCTGGTCGTGGGCTGGATTGGCTTTGGATTAAGGAGGTCGTGGACTGGCCTCAGTTTAGTTGGAGTAGTTCCCAGCCTATGGGTGCGAACAGGTTCTGGTGAATGGTTTTGCCTCTGGACCTGTACACTCGAGCTCGACTCCATCCGCTTCGCACAGCGCTTCGTCGCCGCCGCTTCACGAGTACGTCGCCGCCGCCACCGCTTCGCACACGCATCGACGCCGCCGCCGCTCCTCCTCCATATCGCAAGATCTCGGGCGGGCGCCGCTCTCCAAGATGTGCGTGCTTCTCTCTGCCTCCTCCCTCTCCCTCCTATTCTGTTTTTTTTTTCTGAATCTTGCTTGAAAAGAAACCGAATCATGGATCCATGTCCCTGGCCACCTGTATCTTCTCTCTGTTCCTCGCTTGTTCCTGCTTCAAGCACTTGCGTGTGTGGTCTAGTTGCAAGAGCAATTTACTCAACAGCACAGCTCGCACAGGCAGCTGATGCCGCTCCAAATCGGCTAGCCCAGATCTTTTCCTGCAGCACCGAGCAGTGCTCGTCGTGAGTCAAGGTGACTCTGTGCTTGATTTTTATTGGTCAAAAGCTTGCTTCTTGCATCCGTGAATCACCAAATCAATTATTGGCTAATATTTGGAGTATTAAAATTCTTCTTGTTACTTGATTTATTAATTCCTTCGTTTGCAGGTCGTAAGGAGGAGGAGCGAGGTGGATCACAGCTGCGAGGCGGGTTCTATTGGAAGAACGAACAGATTGGTTCTTTGATGTTTTCGGGGCGGTCGTCTGATCTGTGCCTGGATTTCTCGTCTCCCTGATGTGGTCGATTTCTCGTCTCCTTTGATGGGACCCTTCATGCAGGTGCCCGAATTCGGGAGAACATGAGCAGGTTCAACTCCAGTTATGAGAACAGGACCGCAACGATGCAAAACTGCTGGAAGGAGAGGCAGCAACAGGTTGCGGCTCTTGATGAGGAGAAGAACATCAAAAAACAAGAATAGAAATTGGTTGTGGCTGCAGCAAGAGAGGTTGGGGCGCACAAGATACAAGGGCTGTGGGTTGGTGTGATCAATATCTGCAAAGATGACGATGCCAGGAATGTCTTCCTCGAAACACCTGTGGAAGCAAGGCTTGAAGTCATTATGCACTATGCTGGGGTCGGAAACTAGAACCATCTATCCATGCATTTCACCTATATGTGACTGTAGTTGGCATGTGCAGATCATTAGTCCTATATGAACTATGTCTTTTATGTGCGAGGTTGTGATGATGAACAATGTCATTAAGCCCTTAATTTGCAGCATGGTTGTTAAACTAAGTTCTCAAGCTCATTTTTGTTTTTATATTGATTGCCTGTGTGAGGTCATGGTATGTTTGAATTGAGGTAGCCTTGCATGAGTATAGTGGGTAGCAACAGTTTTTGTACTGACTGTCTGTGTGTTCTATTGCAATGGCCAGGAAGTTGTTGATTAAGTTAATGCTCAAGTGGATGATGACGACGACTGGTGGGAGGAGTTTTGGAAAATGCTGCTAGAAGATGATGATGAAGCAGCATTTATCTATGGTACGTATGACTACGCTATACATCTGGACAAGTATTGCAATAGAGCTGCGTATAGGAAGCCACCATATACTGGTGAGGAATGGGTACAAAACAAGCTTGCCAATGAAACTGCCTACTACAATATGTTTAGAATGAGTCCCCAAATGTTTTATAGTCTGCATAGTTTGTTGACTACAAACTATGGCATCACATCCTCAACCAAGTCTACCTCTATGGAGGCTCTAGCAATGTTCCTTTGGATACTTGGGGCTCCACAATCAATTAGGCAAGCAGAGGACAAATTTGAGAGATCACTAGGCACTGTGCACAACCTTTTTTACAAAGTCCTCAGCAGTGTGTTAGATCTATCTGCCGACATCATTAAACCTAGGGACCCAGATTTTACAACAATGCATCCTAGGGTCCATAATGCTAGGTTCTATCCTAAATTCTAAGGGTTGCATAGGGGCAATAGATGGCACTCACATTCCTGTGGTCGTGCCAAGTGATAAGTTTATGCAACACATGTGTCGGAAGGGCAAGACAACCCAGAATGTCATGGCCGTTTGTGACTTTGACATGGTCTTTACTTTTGTCCTTGCTGGCTGGCCTGGATCGGTGCATGACATGAGAGTGTTAGATGATGCACTCACAAAGTACAGAGATTTCTTCCCTAAGGCGCCTAGAGGTACACACGTTGCTGCTAGTTCAATACTGTTTTCTAATTGAAGCTTGTTAAACTTACAGGTACTTACTGCTGCAGAGAAGTACTACCTGGTGGACTCGGGGTATGCAAACCGCCCCGGGTTTCTGTCTCCTTACCGGCAGACCAAGTATCACATCCAAGACTTTCAAAACGCCCCCGAACCACAAGGTATTAAGGAGATATTCAATTATGCGCATTCATCTCTTAGAAATGTCATCGAAAGGGCGTTTGGAGTGTTGAAGATGAAGTGGCGCATATTGTTTAACATCCCGTCGTATCCACCTGAGACACAGACACATATAATAGTTGCATGCATGGCGTTGCACAACTTCATCAGGATCAATGGTGACTTTGATGGTGACTTTGGTATGCTAGACAACAATGTAAACTATGCGCTTGTTGAAGCATATGTGGATCACTGAGATGCAGAGCCCGCTCCCAGACAAAGGCGGACATGGAAAGCATGAATGCATTCCGAGACAAAGTTGGCTCATCATTTGTTTAATAGGTCGTGAATAATCTGAGATTGAGAAGATGTATTTGCTTATGTACTATCCGAATGTCTGTAACAATTTTCGGCGGATTTGACTACATTTTACTTGAGTTTTTGAATATGCAATAAAGTGTGTAGAGCTTACAGTTGTTCATGCGATTGTGCATGACAACGTACTGGGGGCATGCAAAATTTCCATCATGACAACATGGCTTGTCACACAATACTATGTTGCCTGTTGCATGCACTTCCATCACAGTATCACACACATGTAGATGTTTTAGTCTGATGAGTAGTATATGATGCCCTGGAACACCTCACAGAAGAGAAGACCCAGCATGTGACAAGCCATGCACAACGTACTGCACATTTCCTGACACACAGTATGCAGAATTTGGGTAAACAGTAACTCCAAAGTTTGGGGGTGCAGAATTTGGGAACTAAACAAGGGCCGAGTTTTATGAAAAGGTGCTCTCGTTTCTGTGCTTTGGAATTCAGTAGTCCTGTAGTGGTTGGCTGGTGTGGTGTAGTTAAGTGCTGCAGTGCCTTTTTGCCTGTATTATGAATAGTCATGGTGGTAATGGAATGCTCTGGGTATCTGAATGTTGATCAGTGATCTTATGCCGGCTTACCATACTATGTCAGTTGTTAACCCTGCTTGCAGTGCCTGTACCCTGGGGTTTATGTGATGCTCCTACGTGGTGTGCTACTTTTCCATATTTAATTAATGTTGCGCCAATTTGTGAGATGGTGTTGCAGAATTCTGTAGGAATTTTGGAATTCAATGTCCTGCTTCTGAAGTTGGTAGTGGAGAATGGGTTGATTTTTTTTATTTCAAATGCTTATTCTTTTCAAATTCCAGTGCTTTGGAAGCTGGATTCGTTGTGCTCTAGTGCTGGCAAGTTGTACTGTGTTTTCAGTTTTGGTGACTGATTGACTACTTGCAGCAGGTTACTTGCTTTTTTTTGTTTGCTTCTTCCATCTGCTAGCTAAGCTATATTATGACTATACACAGCATGCACAATTTGTGACTGATTGACTGATCATGCTCTGAATTTATTACTAGCCATTGCTTCCTTTGTCTGAGAGATGAAAATGGCTTGGTTGACTGATTGACTGATCATGTAGGTTGTTTTCTTTGGTTTGTTCTGGAATCAGAGTATCTGTTTATTTGCCGTCCCTGTTACTTGAGTCTCCAGTAAAATTGTGGTAATTTCACAAAAGTCATATACAACTACATGGGGTGTCCAGATAAATTCATAAACATCATTTTTTTTTATAAAGGACATTTCTGTATCATGCAGTTTTGGTGTCCAGATACATTCATAAACATCAATAAAGGACATTTCTGTGCACCTTCAATATAAAATTGAAATTTGAATACGGGAAATATCATTTGCAGTGATCCTTTTTTTGATAAAAAAAATTATTGCATAAATTTATTTATACCTCAAACAACCTGTTCATATTTTCAGCACGGGGAATTTTTATTTACAGTGACATTGTTTTCTTGTAGGAAGACTTTTGGACCTATGTCGACGACCAAGATGTTGACATGGAGACTGTTAAGTGAGAACCTCAGATGTCTATCTTTTACATAAGCAAGCTGCCTCTGATTATACAAATGTCATCTTCAGAGTTTTCGATTCAGAGAAGGTTCAGTGTTTTAGTGTATAATAAGAATGTTCAGCTTGTTTGGTTAGCCCATTCGTTGAAATGTTCAGTCTATCAGTCTGTAAAAATGTTCAGTCTACCAGTTTTCAATGTATCAGTCATTCAGTCGATGTGTCGTAAAAATGTTTCAGTTTATGTTCAGCCTGCTTGGAAGAGCTATAGCTGTGGCTGTTTAAATTCATTTATGTTCAGTCGATGTGTCAGCTTAATTGTTTGGAATAGCTAGCTGTGGTTGTTTACATGTACTGTTCAATCAGTGATGAAACCAGCAGCGGCAGCGCTGTGGCTGCTAAAGTAGCAGCAGCGAGCAAGCTAGTTAGCTCATTCGTTGGCTTGTAAAAGCACCTGCTCGTTCGTCAGCTTATTTGGTTATGAGCTTGTAAAACCGTGGGCTGGGATGGTTTTTTAGTAGGCTGAAACCACAGGTTGGTCAATGCTTGGTACAGTATATAGGCTGAAATAACATAACGTCGGGGGTGGGTTGGTTTTCGTAGATGACGGGTTTATTTTTCGTTCAATACTGTATGGAGTGGTGTGGCTACGGGTTGGGTTTCAGCCCACTAGCAGGGCGCCCAAACGGCCAACCCCGAGCAGGACCATCACACTGAGTTCATTGACTAAATAGAGAAACAAGAATGATATTAGAAGATGGACAACTAACAAGTGAACACAAAGGTGCTCCACGGATTAAAAATCAGATCAGGTTGGTAAGATCATTTTGACGCTCAAATAAACTTGACTAGGTAGCGGCAAATTAAAGCTGCATCACGGACCATATCTACTCACCTGAGCAAAGCGTACGTACTGGCCGGGCGCCTGAAGTGGTACCGATTGAAGATGTATGTGGCCGTCGGCCGGCGGAAGTTGAGCAGCGCCAGCGACTGGTTGAGGGTGGCCTCCGGGTACATGTCGTCCTGGAGCGGCCTCAGATCAAGCCCGGAGATGAACGGTGTGCCCAGGCCTCGGTTCACCAGGCACACCTGAAAGAAGTCTGCCGGCGGCACCACCACCGCCTCGAAGATGTACGAGGCGCCGGGTGCGGTGACGTTGACGGTGACCCAGCGGTTGACGCCGAGGTGGAGGTCGAAGACGGGGAGCCTGTTGAGCCCGTCGTAGTTGCCATAGTAGAAGGTTGCCCTCACGAGGTACCGGCCGCCGGGGGTCACCCCCGGACGGAGCTGATGATGACTTAGGTTAGGTGGACACAGGTCTTGCCAGTAGTGCGTCGGAATTATAGATCAAGCAGGCAAGCAGCGTGTCGTCGTGTGTCGTTCGTTAGTCGTCGATCTGGGTCAACATCGTCGTGATCATATAGATATTTATGGGATGGAGAAGATTTTTAACGAGAAGGGAGAACATGCATGATGCGTACGAGCTTATTGTGCAACCAACAGCCGAGGCGGCGCAATTAACTAAGGGATCGTCGAGTGAATACGAATCACTATATGGATACCCTTTTTAACCAAATTTTAATCGATTGATGATGAGTTCCGTTAAATACATTTGCTTCATGATATCAATCATGCAAACACTACTGCAAAGAAGGACATCACTGTCGGTTCAAACCTCCTTCACTTCCAGAGACAGAACTAAATCTGCAGTGATGTGCCTGTCCTATCACTGTCGGTTTTTTTTAAACCAGTGATAAACCGACAGTGATAACCACCTTCACTGCCGGTTTGTTTGAGCCAACACTGTCGGTTCGTGGCTCCAACCGGCAGTGTTGAGTCGAACAACATTGCCAGTTCATCTCCCAAGCTGGCAGTGATATTGCTATGATCACTGCCGGTTTAGGGCTGCAGGTGTCCGTGTTGATTTTGGCAACACTGTCGGCTCAGTACTTGAGCCAGCAGTGCTATGCCTATCATCACTGCCGGTTTTCTGGTGAACTGGCTGTGATCTTATTTTTCCATTTTGTTATTTAATATTTTTTTAATTATTTTTTGTGTGGTACTTTATATTCCCTATGGTTACGGTAATATAGACTAGATACACATGCATCACAAATTCATCAAGATTTATATTACAAATGTTATGGTTATAATGGAAATGTACTTATCAAAGATAGTGACGTTATCACATATCCATCAAGATCTCTATTACAATAGTCTATCGAGCATCTCTTTATTATATTGTTTTTTGAACTTCTTGGACCGTGCAATGGAGAATGATCTGACCTAACTCCATACCCCTCTTTATCTGGTAAGCCTCTTTAATTTCCGCGGCCGACGAGGCTAGAATTATCTCGTTCGTGATCGATGAGGCAAAACACCTTTTAAGACTTCATATGAGAACCACACAACGAGCTGGATACACATGCTAGTGACAGAGGAGGCTCTAGCACTTTACTATTTTATTCACTTATGCTCGTGAATCTTGGAGATGATCCACGAATTTTATTTCATGGACGGCGACCATAAAGCGCAGCTTAATCAGAGGTTTTCTGTAAGCTCGTCATGCGGACGTAATTAACCGGTCACGCCCAATAGGCCCTGGGAATCAGTGAACTGTCTAGTTTGAAGTTGATGCACACATGAACATGACATGCCGTGAGCCCGTGACCCGCGAGAATAATCCATTCTGACTCACTGGGTATGATGAGAGAGAGAGAGGTAAGACACCTAAATTGTCTTTGTTAAGTGAGGACTGTGATGTTGCATTCCTATTTCTTCATTTTAGAGCTAGTTTGTTCAGCTCATTTGTCATGTAGCTTATTGCTTATACATTCTGTAGGCTGATTAGGATCGAGGGATGAGGAGCATAGGGTTAGGCCAAAGAAAAACTTATTCTATAGCCACTCTAGTTTATAATAATATTTATACTAATTTATAATAACTAGTCCATCAACCCGTGCTCTCTCACGGGCTAGAATTTTAGAAGTATCCCATTCATTCCAAATTATAAGATATTTTGAATTTTCTGGATATATTCTTTTTACTATATATCTAGGCGACACATCTAATTGTATAGCAAAAACTATATATTTTATAGCAAAAACTATATATTTAAAAAACACAAAAGGTCTTATAATTTGGAATAGATGAGTATATCTGACTAATAAATAATTACTTATATTACATCCTATGTTATTTTTGTTTGTTTATTTTCTAACATAATAGACATAATAGATACTCTGTAGACTATATCTAGTTATCATAAGCTTATTGATTACTATTTTTTCAAGGAACTAATCTATAATTTTTTTATCCATATTCATAGTTTTCCTTTGCATGGCACCTCTCTATATATTAAATACACAATTACTTTTAAACCTTAACTTACCATTAATCATGGTGGCTCTTGATGCATCATGTATCTTATGAAGTCATGAATCTAAATTTTGAATTTTCAAATTTTATTCTTATCGACCGCTATGGATTTTTCTCTCTCCTCAAGTTAAGTTGAGACTCTTGTGCTTATTGTACCTTTAATTAATTCTCCTTTTTGCATTTTTTAAAATAAGGATTGTAGATCATAGAGTATGTTCTTATGTACTAAAATAGCATAAGCCATTATTTAAAACTTGCACCATATCGCTTAAGATAAGTCATAGAGCTTAAAGTGAGATCTCGAATATGGGTAGCAATGCTAATCTCAGAAGAATTTTAATACTTAAACCTTATAATGTTTGACTTTCCTCTAAAGTATACTTAAAGGGCTAGAAAAATATTGTCATTGGTGGTCTCCCACACTTCTAAAGATGATTGAATTTGCCTATCAAGGAATTATATTTGCAGTTATGGTTATACTATCAATATACACATGCCAAACATTCTAGTTAAAATACACAAATATATCTAAATAATATTCTATATAAATTATAGGTTATGATTACTAATATGGTTTTAAATAATTTGTTAGTATCATTAGTATTTGAGTTGTTAAGAAAATATTTTTATGTGATGAAACATAACATATGTATTTTATTGCTCATGCTTATTGGCACGACATGTATATTACCTTTAATTAAATCTTTTTTTTAACTGAAACCGTGGGGTATAAAACCCCTGACGGCTTTGAATTATAAAAGAGAGAGTACAACAAACTTACATGAAAAGGAGACAGAAAAAGGAGGAGGCCTAACCAGCAGTGAGGCACCACAAACTAGCTAAAAACTGAAACTGAAGAACTGAAGAAAAAACGGGCCTAAACTAACGCAGAAGAAGCAACTAACTAATTACAGAGAAGATTACAAGGCCTCAAGCCACAACTTAATACAGGGGTGAAGACTTTGCTTTATCCTGAAGAGATGTTCATAAACTTCTTTCTTGAAAACAGCCTTCCAAGAGGCCAGTCTTGGAATCTTTCCATAAAAAATGAAAGCATTTCGTTCGTTCCAGATGCACCAAGCACCTATCATGAAGATTTCCATGAAGAAAGGATAGGGGAAGCTTCCTTTGGCAATGACCAGCTTCTCATGAATATTAACATCCTCCTCCCAGGTGAGACCCAGCATAAACCATCTGGAAATGGCAGAGGGACAATCGAAGAAAAGATGTTCAAAGGTCTCCTCCATATGATCCTGACAGAGCACACAGCAGTACCCTTCCTCTAAGAGTTTGTTTCTTCTTCTCAGCATATTTCTAGTGTTTAGTCTATCATTAAGCAGCAACCAAGCAAAGAATTTGATCTTTGGGACACACTTAGCCTTCCAAATCCAAGTGACAGTTCTGGGAGGAATTATAGAGGCAAAGTGATAATGATAAAACCTGCTTCGAAGAATATTTTTGGTGACCCCAGATGAAACTCCAGCAGTCTTTAGCCTCAAATTGAATAGGATGCATAGAGAGAAGCTCCTCTTGCAATTCTAGGAATTCATTATGAGCCTGTCTAGACATGGGGATTCTGAAATGATTAATCAGAGAATCAGCAGTCCTGATCTTCCAAAGAGATATAGCTGGGTCCATGGCAAAATAAAAAAGGTTGGGGAACTTCTCTGAGTGAATGACATCCAGAATCAGATCATCCCAAAAGCTCACAGTGTCACCTTTGTTTGGGGTACAGATAGCAATACTTAATGTGAAGCCTGAGGATGTCCTTCCACCAAAATGATCCCTTTTCTCTTCTAAGGTGGGGAACACCATCAGGGTAATACTTCTCCCAAATAAGATTTACCCACTGGATGTCAGCCTTATTATAAAACTTATCCAATTGCTTCAGCAAGAGAGCATCATTCTGGAGAGTAAGGTTAATAATCCCAAGTCCTCCTTTGCCTTTGGGCTTCATGACCAGGTTCCAAGCAGCAAGATTGTATCCTTTCCTTCTGAAATCACTGCCTCTCCAAAGGCAATTCTTTCTATGCTTGTCAATGATGTCCACAACTGCTACTGGGAGCTTCAACGAGCACATATAATAGGTTGGGAGGATGAAAGGACTGAATTGGCAAGCTGCAACCTCCCAGCATAAGATAGCATTAGTGAACTGGCTGACAGTCTTCTTTCAATCCTACATATGAGAGGAGCATAGTCCTTGACCTGTGGTTTAGTGAGGCCCATGGGAAGCCCCAAGTAGGTGCATGGGTCGAAAAGCTCACAGTGATCATGTTTCTTAATGACACAAGTGGGTAATACAAATTAGAGTCAGGAGTTAGTTTATATTGTTTTACACAATAGCAGAAGTGGATAATTATTTAGAAAATAGAATAGATCCAATAGCTATTATAATTATTAGGGGTGATTAGGTTATACCTAATTAATGGTAAGATGTTTCTGATTTTATGAGAATTTCTTGGATCTATCTTTTGTTTCCATATCAAGTCTTGAGAGGATTAACATGAAGGCTCCAGTATTTATGTTTTTTCTAGTGTGATGTGTATTTAGTTCAAATCTAGTCTTAAGATATATAAACTTTTGATACCACCATTTTTTTGACTTCATAAATCTATAGTTTGTCTTTTAATTTTTAATCA